TGTTGGTCTGTTTTGTCTACTTCATCTTCGCTCTTGCAGAGTCTCTGCTACGCATCGCGTCACCGAGATTTGCGCCATCCTTTGCACTTATGCTCGTCTCAGTGCCTCTCGTCTTCATCGACTTCGCCATCATTTGGTGGACCTTCGTCTCCCTGGTCGGCACACTTAGGGAGACCAGAATGCGTCGGAACCGTGTTAAATTCAACCTTTATCGTGTCTTCAGCAACGTTCTCGCAGTTATGTCCATAGGCAAGTGGGAAAGGAAGGATAGTTGAGATTTTTCCACCCTATCCAGCTACTTAAGTGACAATTAATTGTTGTAATTTTGTGCTCGTTTTGGAGCCAGACGACAGTAGTAAGGCCGAATAGGTCAAAATGTTGCGTGGTCTGCATGAAAGGTCTCTAGTCTGTCCAGTCTCTTGCACTGCCCAGACCATCTGTTGCAAAAACATGAAAGAAGATCCAGTAGCGTCTTTTGTGGTTTGACTTGCGACATCTTGTACGGAGATGTTGCAGAGAAGGATTAAATAGAAGACAAGATGATTAGTCAAGTTGAATGAAGAAGATGTGCAAGGACAAAACTGTGTGCTTCAAGATAAGATTGAGGCATGTTGAATTGCTGATGCAGCGCACGCAGTTGTATAGACGCGAACTTGACGGAAAAGCCGGCTCTGCTTTCGAGGCTCCGGCATTTCCATGGCGCCGATGCTACTCGCAGCTGGCAAATGGTTGTTGTCTCTAGGCAGGACCAACCAACAGGGCTGCATTGCCGTCTGTGAAGCCAAGCTTCTTAACATTTCACGAAAGACCAGTTGAAGTGTTGCACTAAAGTAGGCGAGGGAAGTCCTTTCTGCTATTTCCTTTCGAAGATGAAGGACTGATACATAAATTTTCCCAAAATTTAATGAGTAGGCCATTAAATTCTAAAAAAGGCTTTATTATCAGGACAGCAGTGGACTGCATATTTGAACTCGTCTGAACTGGTCTTGTCAACAACTTCTGCGGGACTCGAACCAGTAAAGTGCGGAATAGTATCACATCACGTTAACCACCATACCAGACTGCCATGAGTCCTCTTGGCCCACCGAGCAGATCTGAATTTTAAGTAAGCCTAAACATTTTCCCATATCACATATTCAATAGTAACGTAAAAGCTACTCCTCAGATTGTGGTAAAAGTCACTGTTTTGCTTTATAAGATCCGTCAGCTACCCATTAGCTTTATATTCCTGTCACCATTTGCGTCGTATTTAAGGGTTTAAGACCAATGATTCTCATAGCTTGGTATCTTCTTCTCGGGCTTCAAACCCGTGACCCACTCATTCCATCTCACTCTCTGCAGCTCTGTGCCTGGCTTGATTAGAAACTACTTATTTGAAGATGGACTACTTTCCTTCCCCACTCCTGAGTCGCGTGAAACACACCTCTTTTGTCTTTTAAGTTGACATTCCCAACTAATCCTAAGGTTCTAGTCAATGCATACACTCAACAGTCTAATACGGAAAGTCATCATGAACACTGACAGAGGACACAGGACTAGGTATGTTGCTCGAGGTCTCTGCGGCTCGACCAATTTACGAAACAAGGAGAAATAAACACTATACAGCGGTTTGACATTGCCACCAGACAACTGGCCATTCCATCTTGTTCTTCATGTCAATGGATGCATATTTTATAAAGTTATGCAAAAAAAATATACCAAACCATGAGAATATATATATATATATCAATGAACATGGACAGATAGACAGACTCATTCAGATGGTTCGAGCTTGACATATGATTGGAACTAATCAAGTCACTTTATATCTCATCAAAGATCTCATATTTAAAGTGTATAAACAGCATTTATGGATGAGCCAAGCAGTTTTCCTAATTCGTTAGCCTGAATATTTTGATGAAACTATCATTTCATATCAAAGTACGCAATAAAGATATTCGCAGGTAGATCCTCAACAAGGCGATTCATCGATACCCTGTTGCTCATCTTAGTTACAGCTTGAATAAGGTTTTCTGAATGATACCATCTGCTCTGATGATGACCGTATGAGGATAACGGATGAAGGCTTAGCACATTTTCACCGGGATCAAAGACAATTGTGATATGAAAACGTGCCTGGCCTTCTTTCAGATGCACATCTGACCTGTGATCCACAGCCACTCATAGCAAGGTGACTTATGGGGTGCTGTTGAAAACAAGGCGATGCCGAAACAGCAGTCCACGTCAGCCTGGATGAGAATACCTTTTGGAAAAGCAAGGCTATGTGAAATTTAATGTAAACTTCATGTGGGAAAATTAAACTACTAGTCCTTCATCGCCCTTAAATAAATACTGTGAGCACAGCGCATATAACTTAGCTTTCCCTAAATTAGATTAATTAGACTAACCTCTACTACTTATTTAATTTTATTTTCTGCAGTTTCGGTGATTTTTATGATCTGGTCGATCTTCTCATTTCGCGTTTGGCCCTGTATCAACGTAAGTTGGTCGGAACTATTTGAGCCGATTACTTACTTAGTACTTTCATTCTTGCTTGTTTAGATTTGTGCAGCCATGTTTTTCTCTTCATACTCACTCATTTCTAGTCAAGCGAAGTGTTCTGCTTTAGTTTATCCATTATGGATGTTATTTCTGTGAAGATGGGTAAAGAAGAAATGTAAAGGTCGGTCTAGTTTATTTGCAGTTTATTTTTATTCTTACTCCACCGTTTGAGCATCCAACTTGATCGTCCGTTTAAGTTAGGTAGGTCGGGACACATCAGCCTACCCAAACGGGTAAGTTCTGAGCGAAATACATTTTCGGTACGATACATCATTTCCAAACTTACTCTAACCTGAATTAATTAAGCATAAAGGTCCACTAAACTATGAGTGAGATCATATCCTCTTAATTAATTTCATAAACAATTTTTCCCCATAAACTTTTTTATTCCTACTGTCTAAATTTCACATTACTACACTAAAGTCTAAAGACGCAATTGCTAATAGCGTTTTGGTATTGTGCTATCATGTACATTTGAAAATATCTAAGTTATCAAAGTTATCTATTAACAAGCCTTATTTTCTTCAAAGATAGTTAGTTTGCATAGTTATATAAGTTTTGAGTTAATTTGGCGTCATTTTCGCAATTTGGTCGGCTTCCAGGTAGACTTCAAAAAAACGTGCTTCACTCCACGTCCTTTGCCATCCTTGCTATCTCTTCTTCCTGAATCGAGACGGTGACAAGATACCTAACCAGACGGGGCCTTTACTCTTTGGTTAACAGTCTCATCTATAGTACACCCACTTGAATGTTCATTTCATCCATTTTCTCGAGGATGGCGCCTCATATTGCTCCCTTGGCAATCAGTATCTACTAAAACTTTAGCCGATTATCTGGTTGTGGTCTACTTTAGCCTACGTTACCGTCAAGGTTAGGAAAGTATTCACATCACCGGACTCGGTTGTATAAGGTAACAGTTACCATAACTCTACCCAGTATCCTCTCGGAAACTTCACTTTCTCATGTGGACTTTCTTGCCTTGGAAGTATTGGTTGTGATCGAGGAGTTCGGCGAATCACATTCACACCGACAGGGAAGGTGATCATGCTGCAATAATACCACTAAAAGTAACCGACAATCTGAGCGTATTAAGACGAGCAAAGGTGAAAATTGGGCCTAGTAGGAGATTTGAGCATACAAGTTTGGAGTTAGCGTGGACGGTACTGAGCGGAGATGTATCAAAATTACTCCATACTCTGACCAATGGTAGCTCATTATTGAGGTTGCTATTGTTTCAGAGGGCAGATTTAGATGGGGTGCGAAAGAAAACCGACCAGTTTGCTTTAATTATTCTACCCGCTTCGATGATTTTGGCCATGTGGGTAGAGTCAAATGCCTGACTCTGTTCTGTTTTGCCTTGTTCGCCAGTGTAAATTTCCATTTGATCGTGAAGCTTAAACTCGGAGGGTTGTTGCAAGCCTTATGCCGCCTCAACTCACTTTGTTATTTAAAACAAACATTTAATCTTATTATTCCATTGGTCAAATATGATCCACCTATCCTTGCTTTCTTTCTATGTGTATATACACGCCGTAACATCATTGCTTATTTGTGTCTGCTTTTAAATATTTCAAGTATCCTTTGTCGTTGCATCAGATAATTGGTAGCTATCAGAAAGGTAGTTGCCTTTAGAACATTCCACTTGCAACTGTCATATTGTTTGACTGAATGCAAGTCCAGCATAACTAGGTGAAATTCAATGCAAAGATCTGACATTTTCTAGTTTGATTCACATATGCATCATCTTTTTTCTTATAATCCTGAGCACTAAATACTTTATTCTTTCTTGTGTAAGCAATAAGGTACTTAAAAATCGACTGATCAATGCAAATATGCATTATCCTGGCTATCAACTATCTAGGAGAGTTTTCAAATCTAAACCTCTAATTTCTTCCGTATTGGTATGTATGGGTGTTGAATTTCTTTTATCTTGTTTCTTGGATCGCAAAAATGAGAGTTAATTTCTCTAATGCCTTATTGATAAATGATTTTTGATTCACTTAGCAAATCTGGTGTTTATGGGTAGCAAAATTAGTCTAGTCTTGATTTCAGGCCCGTTTTGGAAAGGATATTTTAGGATCATTCCCCACTATCCTAATGATAACTTTGTTCTCTGCTTCAAACCTTCCCAGTTAAGAACTATTCGTTTCCATAGCCCATCTCCAAAATGAAAAACAAAATATACATCTAGAAATTTCATTACACCGCTGAGGGAATGTTGATTTTGCGCTTTGGATAGCGCTCAGAAAACAAGTGTCCTGTGCCCACACTGTCGAATTGGCGATTGGTGATGGATCTCTTTCAAAATGTCGTCTTAAATAGAGCTACATTATTTCTAATTGTGAGCTGCCAAGTCACCGGAGCTGGACATGTAAAGCTCTGTACAGTGTATTGGCTTAATCATATCCCCGCTTTATTAATTCAGTGGCATTGATCATCTTATTTCATATTCAGCTTTGGCGTCTTCTATGGTTGGACGAGGCCTTCTGGCAGATCTTGTTCTTCGTCATGTTATTGATAATTATGTGGTTGTGGCGACCAAGTAAAAGCAATAAATGTTATGCGTACACTCCCCTCTTGGACAGAGAACACGATGCACCCGAAGATGAATTCATCGAGGAGTATGTCCTTTTAGATACTGATGGTGAGCACTTTCTTCGTCCTTATTTTGCTAATCACATTTAGATTGCTATTTAAACTGTTAACTTTACAATTCGATACTATCGAGGTAGGA